CTCCCTCTCTCTGCTGCTGGGCAGAGATGAAACGGATCGAAATGACAGGGCATGGGAATGGGCACACATCACCTGGCATGGCAGCTGATTTATGGCTGCCTTTGGGAACCGCAAAGCCAGGCTGTGTGTGAGCAGCAGCACAGGTGGAAGCGCTGATACTGCGAGGGGTGGGTAAATCATTTGTTGTTGAGAAGACTATTTTGTCAGCAGGGTTCTTGTGGCATAGCCTCAGCAGTTTGTTTAGACACCAGGCTGGGAGCTGGCTGGGTGAGTAAGGCTGTGGCTGTGTTTCCTCTCCTGCCCTTAAGTGGTGGCTTTGGGATGTTTGCTTGCACCCTTTGGAGCTGTTCCACTGGTCCTCCTGCCCCAGGGCCAATGAAACAAATAGGCTTTGTGTGGTTTTCAGATGACTGTCAGAACCCCGTGGGATAAATATGAGTTGGCTGGAAGGGCGGAAGGCTCTGTAACTATTTTATTCCCACTCTGACACCTTTGCTTTGTTTCCTGATACGTTTGTTAATTGGTACAAAGCCTGGTGCTTGCTTACTGCTCATCTTGCTGAGAGGATTTGAAACATCATTCCCTTTGAATTAATTCTTTGATTTTTTTTTTCTTCTAGTATGCATGAGTAAGGAAAAGGTGAGAATTCCTCTGGCTTTTGAGATGGTGCAGGTGAATCTGGCCCAGAGCATCTTCCATCCAAATGGAGCTTTTCTCTTTGCTTTGCAGCCTGCCTTGACTCTGTGCGCTGGAGTTAGATGCTGCAATGAGGATGGGTCAGTTGGGGCTCAGTAGGTGCACAGAATGTAAGGTTTGGGAGAAATAAGTCTCAGATTCTTTCCTGCTGGTCCCTGTGCTGTTCCAGACACAATTTCTAACTTTTTTTTGTTTTTTTTTCCTCATGGGCACAAAAGGCTGGAAAATAATTGTGAGCAATGGCTGCTGCTCTCCTTTCCTTTGTCTGTTTGCTGCCTTTCTCCTTCCACATTCATGAAGGCTGCGTGCTCGGTATGTGCGAACCCTCTGACGGGAGGATGGTTCTCTGGGTTTGGGTTCTCTGTGCTTGGCACAACAGGAGCTATGGGCACTGCTAATGCTTTGTCACTCCATAAAGTGAGACAAGACAAAAACCTTGTCCTGTAGTGAGCTGAGCAATGTTAGAGCTAGCAGCAACAGTGCAGATCGTTTGGTAGCAACAATGTCAGGCAGGGACCTCTACTCTCATTTGTATTCTCCTCCATTTCCCTGCTCCTATTCCTTTCTCTTTTCTTGTTTGCTCTGGGTCCTCTGCCAGCAGAGCAACAAGATAAAACTGACACAGCCTCAGCAGCATTCTCCTTTGCCTTAGCAAACTGAGATGGCAATGCCATGTCACCCCTTAGCAGCTCCCAGCCCCTGGGATGCTCAGCAGCAGGTTGGCAATAATGCCCTGTGCCATCCAGCAGGATGCTCTCAGTACTGCAACAGATACAGCTGCCCCCAGAGCTCAGGCTGTAATGTGGGCCTTAATGTCCCCTGCTCGTGTCACATCTTCTACAGGGTTGGACGTAACAGCCAGAGAGTTTAATTGTTCTCCCACAGCACTAAGGCACCTCAGGGCTTAATTGTTCCTTTGCACTGATTGCCCAGCGGCACTCCAGGGCTTCCTGCAGATTTTGTGGGACAGATGGGGCAGCAGGGAGTGATGTGCTGGCTCTTCCTCCTTCCCCACCTTGAGCCCTTCTCTCTCCACACACACATGTTGAGGCAGCTCACTATGAGCTAGGTGAGGAGCTGGCAGGGCAGAAGCTTAAATCTCAATTACTTTCCTTCTTGTCCGTTTGCACAGGATCCTTATCTCTCTCTGTGTAACTCTCCGTATTTAATTATATGCAATGATAATCCTTCACACGCTAAGCACGTTATTAAGCAATTCTTGAGATAAGTAGTTTTCTGAATCCCCAGTTATGATTGGATATTGGCAATCAAGCTGTCTTCCACTCTCCTTCCTGGGCTGCTTTGCCAAAACCAGTCATGTTTGGGTTGATACAGCACAAGAACCACGTGGGAAGTTTTCCCACAAGGAGGAATTTGGATGTGACAGTGTCCATGGGTAAAAGACACGGCTATCTACATTTCCATGAGGCCAGTTCAGGGTGACTTGGGGTGGCTTTGCTGTCCCAGCTGCTGGACACAACAGTATGTCCCCTCCACTGGTGTTGCACAAACAGGCAGGTCATGGCTTGAATCGTGGAAGACATGAAGCTCTCAGGTTTTGAGGTTCCCTCTTCAATCTTTGCCATGACAGCTGGGATGGCAATAATCTCCTTTTTGCAGCCATCCCACGGGGCTTCAAGGTCTGAACCTGGAAATGAGTGGAAATGAGTTTCTTTGGGTTCCTCCCACATTCCCTGATCCTCTGGCTCCCTTCTCATCTGCTCCCTCGCTGTAAGTTTGTTTGCTTGTGAAGAATTTACCTTTGCTGGCAAGATGAACCTGATGCTTTGCAACCAGAGAAAGGCTCTCCTCCAATGTCAGTTCATTCAGGGCTGTTCCTCCTTGCCTTCCCATCCATCCTTTCCCAAACAGGGATAGTCTGCAGAGCGTTATCAGCCTGGTGTTGGGGTGAGCTGTTCTGGCTCCCCAGTCCCAGCAAGGGGATGATCAGGCTGGGAGGAGGTGGCACCTTGCAGTGTTCTCCCTCTTTGCCTTCATGTGCCACAGCTCTTCTTTGGGCCATCTCAGATGGTTCCCTTGAGGTCTCCTTGTCCAAGCAGTGCCCAGCCCTGCACACAAGACCTGCCGTGCTGGGTATCACTGCTGCACCTCAATGGGCAGGGGATTATGGGGATTCCTCCTAATTCTCTACAGGAAAATGCTGTTTGTGAGTGTAATTGAGAGGGTGGCTTTGGAGTCAATGAGTAGGAGCTTATGTTGTAGATGGATCGTGTTTCACCTCTTTCAAAGCATTTAAGAGCTTACCAGAAAAACAAATGTCATTGCTCAATCTGTGAAGTGGCTCTATGCAACTCGCTGCCTAGGTTCCTCCCCTTCAAGATGAGTTGGAAACAGATTGATTTCACTGTGAAGGTTACAGTTGCCCTCTCCTTCAGTGTTGCTGCATTTGTGCGTATCTGTCTGTATGTAAAGTGATAGCCTACGACTTCACTGTGTGCTTGGTAAGGTTGCTTTCTTCCAATCTCTGAGTATTCCCAGTGAAAGAAATACTGAGTCATAGTTGTTCATAGGAAATCTTTAATCTTAGCTTTGCAATATATATGCTCTCATTAACGCAGAAGGGCAGATGATCTGGCAGCAGAAAGGAGGAGGTGCTCAGTGCAGTCAGCCTGGCTGATTCACCCTGGCTGAACATCAGTCCAGTGAACGTATTTTTCTCCACCCAAATATTCAATTATCATTAGCTGAATCCTGATTTTTTTTTACCCTTTTTTTAAATGGAAATGCATGGAAACAGCTTGTGTAATGCCCAATATACACACTTCTGCTGGAGAATCACTGAACTTCAAATCTGATTTTTTGGGGCTGTCAAAACTGTAGAGAACTACTTAGAAGAAGGACTTCAAGCGTTTGCAGCTTGCAAGTATTAAAGAGGGACTCGGGGAATAGGGCTGCAGGCAAGGCAAGCATTGCACACCTACACTGCCTGCACCAGCATTGCCCTCCCTCCCAGTGCCCAGGGCTCAGTTGTCAATGGAAAAGCCTGAGGAGCCTCTGCTGGCATTCAAACCATCAAGAGGAATAAGGATTGTGAAACAGCACAGTGGGCAAGCAGAGAGCAAGCAAAGAGCTTTGCTAATGATCCTTGGTGTGCCAACAATAATACATTTTCTGCAGTAATACCTTGCGTTTTGCTAGCACACTTCATCGTGCCTCTCACAGTGTTCTGCAAACAGTAATTAATTACAGCCTCATTACATCTCTGTTAGATCCATTTATTTATTTACGGAGAACTTTCCATCCCCGAGCCCTTTGGAATCTGTTAATCACCTGAAGGCAAACAGCGTTCCCATGTGCCCAGAGCCATGAGAGCTGTGAAAATGCTCCTGAGGTTAAGCACAAAGGGGCTCTTGTGAGCACGGCTCTGGGCTGTGGTTTCAGCCAGGGTTTGATTCCTGCCTCTAACGCGTGTTTCTGCAAACCAGGTCTCTTTAAGCTGTCCGTGGTATAAACAAGCTTGGTTTCTGGGGCTGGGTGAAGAGGATGAGAATGCTCTGTACACAGCCATGGTTGGTCAGGATGGGGACTCTCCTTGCCATGTGATTTTAACATCCATTTCAATGGTCAGGAGCAAGGCTTGGCAGACTGCATGGCAAGTGGCACCTCCAGCTACAAAATGCCCCAGCCATCAGTGTGGGCATCGCTCCTGACTTTGGGAACACATCTATGGACTCACCGAACGTGGTTGGACTTGATGATCTTAAAAGTCTTTTCCAACCTTAATGATTCTATGGTTAGCTCCATTGCAACCAGGCTTTCCTGAGATGGCTGATTTCCTTGGTGGTATCCAGAGACGTATCCAGATGTTCTGCAAGCATGGAGGTCCCGTTGGCTGCTTTTAGCTGGCTAACTTTCTCTGCTATAGACCAGCAGCTCTAAGTAAGTCACAGGTGAGGAGGGTGAGCTGGCAGATGCTGGGATGAAGCCAGCTTCACACCTGGAGGCACAGCCCCAGAGGGTAGGGCCATGCCCATCACCTGCTGTCACCTCTGGCCGCAGCTCTCCTCCTGCACCACCAGCTCTCTGCCCAGCTGCACCAGAAGATGCCAAAAGGCACCACATCGAAGCAATTAGCTCCCACGAAACTTTCCACCATTAGGAACAATGGCTGGCTTAGTTCTCATCTGATTGAATTAATGATATTCTAACAAGTGACGGTTTTTCCTTTTAAATTTTCTCATTTGGAAGGAATTGCTCGTCGTAAATTACACATATAAAAATTAGGCTGGTGTTTTGTATTGTTTACAACAAGCACTTGGGGGTTATGGATGTTACTCACTGATTTATAATGTTTAATTTTTTCCCCGCTGTTTGAGCTCTCCATAAATCAAGTGGAGATGTCAACTTTGTGTCAACATTTCACTCAGCCTGCAGGTTACGGGCAAGCCGGGACAGCAGATCTCATGGAGAAGGTTGACTCTTCTCTTCGCTGTCTTTCCTATTTTGATGAAACAATAAGAAGGTGAGGCTGGCACTTGTCAGTTATTTCTGAGTCACATTTCATTAGGCCTTTTTCAAACACTCGAGAGAACAATGTTTGAGGCAAGTGATCCAAGCAGCTCATGTTCCTGCTTGTGGGTTAGGGCAGCAGCTGCTGCAGGATTGCACTGTGAGGCTCAGCAGGTGTCTGATGGTCCTGGACCAGATCCGGATGATGTCACACAGCTCTCATCCTGGCAGGCTCCTCTTCCCTGAGATGCAGTGAGATCCTGGGGTCATCATTTTGAAAGCCTGAAGAGGCTGGTTGTATTTTCGGCATCCAATGGGGGTGATGGGACTTCCCTGAGTTGGGTGGAGCTGGTTGAAGTTGCTGGGGATCTGCTGGTGACACAGAGTAGGTGCTTGTGTAAGCCCCTCAATAAAGAAGATTTAAGGGGTTTTGGTAAGCAACATTGTGCAAGTCTGCAGTGTCAGCGAGATGAATGGAAATTAGGAAGCTGAGGATCTCGGAGAGCCAGTGATAAAGTCAGTCAGTCCCTTTGGGAAGACTGAAGAGGATAATTTCCGTTCCCCAGTAGCTTAGCTTAGGTGCACCATCAGCCAGTGAAGAATATCAGAAGATGTGAGTGTGTAAAGATCCCTGCACTGGGGTAAAACGGCGTACTGTTGGTCCTTTGCTCAGGTCATATCATCAGCTTGCTGCAGAGCCCTCACTATTGCTCTGCTGTTACTGGGTGCCTGGTGTCCAACTTCTTGACCAGTCAGAAGATGGTGGTGGTTGCCCTAGAATCCATCCTGCAGGGCTGATAGGCTGATGCATGCTTTTTTTTCCTGCAAATAACATCTTGGCTTCATCTGAAGGTGGAGTCGAAGTGAACAATGAAGACACTGGGCTCTATGAAGAATGGTGGTCCTCCATTTCTTCTCCTCCATACCTACACCAGCAGACGTGTTAGGAGGAATCTGGCCTTATGTTAAAACCAAAGTGCCTGGTAGATGCAGGTATGTGTGTGGGGCTATCTCGTATCATTCCTGCCCACACCATGCCTACACTTGGATGGCTTATCAGCCTGCCATTTGCCTAAGTAATAGGGCTCGCCCAGTTGTAATAACAAAAGTAAATAAATACATTTTAATGATCCGATGCTGGTAATTAACGATGCTGAAAAACAGATGTCTCCCTGAAGAGCTCATAAGGAAGCCTATTGCATAAGCTCGCCCATTATGTGGATATGAGTTGATTATTAAAAGAAAACATTTAGCAAATGCAGAACAGGATATTCATCTGCTATTACATAATGCTAATAAGCAATTGAATTCAAGCAGTGATAGCCTTCCAGCCCTTACTGAATGCCGAGTGAAGTGTATTTATGGACTCCTATGTGAAATAGGCCTCCTTGTTTTTCCAAGATGAGGAGAGATCTTTTAAGAGATAATAAGTAAAAGAGACTCTAGCTGCTTTAACATGAAGCAAGATGAGTCCTCTGGATTAGTTTGGATTAGTCTGTTGCTAGTGGCACGGAGGTTTGGCACTCGGCCATTTATTCACCTAGAATACGTAGAGCTAATTGGAAAAGCACCTGCGATGAGATGTAGCTCACCACCTGCACTCTGCTGAAATAAAATAAGCCTACATAATTGACTACATTACCTATTAATGTTATGAAATCTCCCCCAGGCATTTTTATTATTATTATTATCATCTCCTCCTGCCTTCTCTCCCCCCCCACCCCCTTTTCCTCAAGCTTTTATGAATCAAACTTTTGTCTCTTGCTTTTTTCCTTGGAAGACTCAGGATTGTGCCACTGCATCGAGACCAGGGCTGTTCTGCATGACTCGCTTCTCCCTGCAGGGGAAACCTAGGAAATTAATCCTCCTCTGCAGGGGGAGAAACAGTTTGGCGTTTCCTGCTTGTTCTCATGGGGTGGGGTGTCATCCTAGTCTCTCTCCTTTCTCTTTTTCCCAAAAAATCAAATGGGAATCTTTTGACTGCTGTATGTAGGTTTTGGGATAGCCCACTATCTTGATGGTACAAAACTTCTTGTCTTTTTTTTTTTTTTTTTTGGCAGATTGAGCAGAATGGGTTTTGCTTACCCAATCCTCACTGACAGGAGAATTTTGGAGCTCAGTGTGGGCAGCTGCTTTAGAGAGGGTGGGCTCTATGCCTCTTGGTGATTGTGTCTTAAATACATTGGTTGCGCTACCCCTTATTGGAAGACTTTAAAAGCTATGAAAATAAGATGCAATGAGTGAATGAGTGCAGGCATAGGGAGGGAGCCTGTCCCAGGTGGGCACGCAGCTTCAGGGACCTCTGCATGGTCAGCATGGGTCAACCCCACTGCTGGCAGGGGTGAGGCTTGCATGGGTTAAAAACCTCAGACAAAACCTCTGTTGCTACATTGCATTGCTTGGGAAATGCAAACAGAGGAAGGAGAGGTGGAGAAGAGCCATAGGAAATACCTTCTGCTTTATCTTTTCCACCTCCGGGAACTTGGCCACAAACTTGAACCAAGCTCAAATCAAACCATCTCTATGCATCTCCAAAGAACGGCACGAAGAGTCTCAAAGCATCTCCTTGGCTCTTGATTGGAAACCCCAAACTCCTGTGGTCGGAGACACGATGCCAAAATGTGGGCCTGACCTCCAAAACGAGTGGTAGAACAGGGAATGAAGTATGGGAGCTGACCTTGTTCCTGAGCTAGCTTAAGTGTTCAGCATTGCTCCAGCTGCCAAACCTTCATCCTCAGCACCAACAGCCAGAGATGTTTTTGGGCTTCAGCTTGAACAAGCAGACCCAGTTGTTCTTTTTGCCATTTCAAGTCACGGAGGGGAAAGGGCATAATTACTGCTTCTAGTTCTTCATTATTGCTGCAGAGATCTGAACTCTTTTGAGAACTTGTTGGAACAGCCCCATCGGGTGCATGGAAATGGAAATCTGCTGAGTTTTTTTCCTCTCTTTAGTTAGCAGAAGCAGTTTTCTGCAACTGGATTATTTATATATAAACAGGTCTGCCCTGAACACTGAATGCAGGTCATGGAGTGTTCTCCCGTGGGATGTGGTCATGCAAAGTCCCACCCATTGACTCACTGTTTGGGCCAAAGAGGTAACCTTAGTCTGGCTTTTCGAGGCTGTATGCAATGCAATAGAACTCAGCAAACATTCAAGATCAGGCTGTGCTCCAAAACGCTCCTAATCCAAGGAGGGACTTACAGCAAGCAATAATGAACTCTCGCCTGAGGGCTGGGGGTAAAAGCCAGAGCTGTGTGGTGAGAAGCTGAAGGGTGTTGGGCCTTAGGAATCCTGCTCAGCCATGGATGGAGCCAGCTGTGAAACACCACTGCCAATCAAACTCGGGCTGTGTGTGTTGCAAGACTTCCCCTTTCACTTCCCAGAAGCTCTGTAGCTGTTCATGCCCAGCATTAAGAGACAGAGCTGTGATACCTCAACAGGGCATGATTTCCTCCCCTTTCCAGTGTAGGGAATATCTTCAGTAGTGAAGAGCCACCAAGCAACGTGGATGGAAGAAGTTTTGCCACGTATCCCAAGAGGCCCCAATGGCTGAGGGCCCCAGTGCAGCTGAAATGAGCAAGATAAATAACTGTGAAGAAACAGAATGCCAGTGAGGTGTGTGTCTGTGGATGCTTGCATGGGAAATGGGGGACATCTCTAATGAATATTGAAGCCAAATCCACATTTCTCACAATCAAAACTCACCAAAAATGCAATTTCTGTCCGGGAATGACAACACCTTGCAAACGTTGCCATAAATCTCACCTGCATTTCAGGGCGATGCTAAAATTTCCAATTCCCTTTACTCAGATACACAGCAGTGCAGCAATTCATGCCAGGGAAACCAAAGCCAGGCCTGGGCTGAAGGACTGATAACATTCAGCAGCGTTGCTGTGACAGCTCTTTTCTTCCTGAAGCTCCTAAGTGTTTTTGCTCTTAGGATTTTAATGGACCTCTGAGAAAAGAGCAGTGTCAAAACAGGAGCTCAGATTACCAAAGTTATTATACTGTTATGTACAATGAGTGATTATTTTATGTATGTATAAACTTTTTTTTTTTTTTTTTGCAAAGGCAGCAGTTCAATAAATAATTAATGTTTCTTAATCCTGCAGCTATTTCTCTCACTGTAAAAAATTAATTGGTTTTCCATCATCTGTTTCCCTTTAACCTGGAGGTATCTGGCACAGCAGCTGTGCCCCTGCTTAAACATGCTCCTTGTAATCTTTGTCATGCCCATGGTACAGAATCTGGGGGATAAACAAACTAATCAGAGATATTAGAGGCACCTCCAGGAAGATTTAGTCATCGTAACACTTCACTCTTATGCAGCATCCATCTGTCTGGGAATAATTAAGCCTCTCAACCCTTGATGAGGTAAATGCTGTGCTCGCTGGTGTGCAGACTGGTAAACAGAGTCACAGAGAGGTTACAAGGTTTGCCCCAGACCACACAATAAGTCAGTGGCACTGCTGAAAAGGGAAATTTCCCTGTTTTCTGTGTTGCTACAAAGCCACGTCGCCTCAGAGATGTGCTGGAGGGTGAATGTGAAGAGACTGTGGGTTATGTTCCATCTCCAGCACCTGGCCAGTAAGCATTTAACACTGGGAGAGAGGTGAGGCCCCAGAAATGCCTGGGGCTGTGGGGCCCCATCCCCAGAGGTGCCTGAGGCCATGGGGGGCATTCAGCCCATTGTCAGGGAGGGGCTGGGGGCTGTGAGGTCCCTTCTGACCTCAAGCCATTCTGTGATCTTGCAGATACCAGGGTGGAGATGGGTCGATGGTTGGACTTAAGGCATCCTAGAGGTTTTTCCCCACCTTTATGATGCTTTGATTCCAATCATCCTCACAAACCCCAGCTGCATCCTGGAGCTCTTTTGTGCTTCACATCTGCAGCCCAGTGCTGCTCAATCCTCCTGCTTTTATCTCTGGTCCTGCATCACCATCAGCCCTTGGTGCTACTCGACCCACAACCAGGAAAGAACAGCAGCAGGAAGGTTTACTGAGCAACAGGCATATTTAAGCTAAAAGTTTAGAGAAAAAGGTATTTTATAGGAGGGAAAAGGGTTTGTTCTTATTGCTCGTCAGTTTCTTTCAAAGCTTTCCCAAAACTTCCCTAGTCCCTGCTCTCCTCCTGTGAAAGCTACTGGCCTGTTGATCTGCTCTGTCCTCCACCTTTCATCCCTTTGGTCCCAATGTTTGCAGACTGACAAGGGAACTGGAAGCCTTTACATCATCTCACAGCATCTCTAACGCTCTCCAAATGTTTGCTGTGGGGTGACTTTGAGACAGCAGATTTTCTCCTAGCTTATTTCCTCTCTCTGAAGCTCCTCAGCTGCTTGCAGGCACCAAGCATCCCATTCACCAGGAGAACACACGGCATTCATAACTTTTCCTGCACTGCTCATGACAGCAAAGCTCTGCCTGAAGCTTCTGCTTTCCTTTCCAGTGCACAGTCAGAGGCTGCAGGGCAGTGTGATGTAGCAAGGAGCTGCTGCCCCCACGTAGTGAGAAGCAATGTGGAACTGCAGAGAGAAATTATAACTGCTGGTGAGCTGGAAAATGTGACTTTTAGGACAAATAGTTGAAGTCCAGGCTGTTTTCTGTGGACTACAGAGAGCAATGCTTTTGTGTCTGGTGGCTCCTATGTTTTAGCCACTGTTGTTGGCTAAAATGGCCATCACAGCTGTCACTTCACTGGTGTTTGGAGCTAAAAAGGGGTATGAAATCTGCTGTTTCAGGCTCCTGTGTTCTGCAGTAACCATTGCTCTTGCTGCCATCTCCCATGGGAGGGCTTGCTGCCTGCGTGGGCTGAGGGCAGCAGCTTGCTTTCTGCCTGGGGGCACTCAGTGTCTGCTCATGCATGGTGTGCCTGAAAGGGTTAACTGATGGGAAACTGATGAGTGCCAGTTCAGCCTAGGGGAGCTAGCAAGTACAAGCATTTTTCTAGTGTGAAGCTTTGTTTGATTACATCTGATAAAGTCTTTGGTGGGATCCATCACTGCCATTGTGTTTTCTGGAGCAAATTCCTTCCCTTTGATTCGTAATCTGCTGATGTCCCTACTGGCCAATCTTGTACAGACAGCCCCATGGGCTGTAAAATCAAATGGAAAATGTGGGCTCAGATGGCACAGCCAGAGTCTGAGCTGGAAGGGTGTGACAGGGGAGGCTGGAAGGTTAGAAGGTAAAGATTCATGTTCCAAAGAACCTCTGCATGTGTCTGGACCAAACTGTCACAGGTGTCTGTGAGATCGGGTCCCAGAACCTATAGGGGCTGTCCTGATGTTGTCACAAGTGTCCTGGTGTCCCACATACTGTCAATGTAGACAAATGATTTTATGGTTAGAAGCAAATTTAATGACAGTCTAGACCACCTTCTTGTTAAATCCAGTCCAGAAAAGAATATATACTAATTCCTACACGGAGCCATTACCTTTGGGTTCATCTATAATATCACTTTTAAAGTGAAGCCTTGTCTGGAAAACTGGCAAAAACACCTCATGCTATATGAACTCTTGATCTGGTGGTTAACAACTTTATTTCCATTTACATCTTACTGCCAGTCCTACTTTGTTTTCTATCCTCGAGAGACTCAGATCATGATCCTGCACTGTGTGACCCACACAGACTGCAGCAATTCCTGGTAGGGGCCAAGAGATCAGCACATCATTCCCCATGGGAAAACAGGTCTAGGAAACCTCATCGAGACACAGACTGCATAGAATCATCCCAGATATATTAATACATTAAGACATAGCAGAAATGACATATGCTAGCATAAATAACTGACTTTGCTCATTGCTCAAACTTCGCCTTTGGAATTTTCTTCTTTTGTTGCTGTTCTACAATAGCAGCAGTTACAGTCATACTACTGAGCATCCATCTAATTACATCTCAATTTAATTATCACCCTTCGTCATGGCTCCATTCTAATGAGGTCTTCAAGTTGTTACCGTTGATGATGAAGTGGCTTGAGAGCTGTTATCTGCTCACCTGAATGAGAGCCATTCAAGGCAGGGACCAGAGAGGGCCCGTATCAGGGATGTGCACAGCCTCTGTGCCTTGCACACAAAACAATCCAGATTGTGAAATACCTTTTGGAAAAGCAGATTATAAAAAAAAAATTAAACAGCCACAGGGCACCCAGGTTGGTGGATGAGTTCCAGAAGCATTAGGTCATACGTTAATTTTATTATTTTTTTTCTCACTCCCTGAATACTCCGGCACTTTTCCAGCCATTATCAAAAGTCACTTTTTTATAGAGCGAGTGTCTTCTACAGCACAGCTCTTCAGATTCTTTTCCATCGGCTTTGTTCTCCTCTGATTTCAAAGCTTTTCTTTCTTTATTAAGTTGGAATGGCTCTAAAGAGAGGAGCTCAGATTTTCTCCCAGGTCACCCCAACACCACCATCACCACACCTAAGGTCTGTAGGTTTCTATCTGACCAAACCTGGGAGCAGGGCAGAGGCCTTGCTGTCCTCACCTGCCTTGTGCTTGGCCTCTGCCACTTAGCACTTGTTGTCTGTTGACATCCTACAGGCCAAATTAGCAAGTGGGGAAGAACCTCCTCCTTCTCATCTGAGTAATTATTCCCCTCGAAATGCATGGACCCAATTAATGTTGCAATGAAATTTTGGAATTCGCCCATGATACGTTGCCACATTGAGCAAAAGTCTGTTACAAATGCAGAGCAATGGCATTGCTTTCAGCCCAGAAAGTGTTGCTATGGAGTGCTGCCTGGTGCAAGAGCCAGTCATACTGTGCTTGATAAAATCAAGGGAGATGGAGTGGCTTAAAACCAGCCATAGTAGCCTGTGGCAGAATTTGGGGGAAAACCACCAATAATAGAATGCTTGATGAGCTCAGACAGCAATGCCTGCATTCAGGCAGCACAGCAGACTCAATAATCTTGTCTTGGTGTGCAGGAGCAGTTCTGACTGCAGTCACATCTTCTGGAAGTTCAAAAAGCATCCTGCCCCCAGTGAGTGCCATGCAAATGGCAAGGTGACCTCATTCTTCTCGTACATTTATGTGTTTTCTAGGGGTCAGCCTGAACCCCTTTGCTCCAGTTCAACTACATTCCTTCCCCATCCTACCAAGAGTGAAGAGAGAGGCTATTTCACTGCCTCACTTCAACGTTTCACTGGCTTCTGACTTCCTCTCCAACCTCCCTTCTCTCAGCAGAGCTTCTCTCTTACTTCCCTCATGACATCTTCCCTCAGATGTCATGTTTCTAGGCTTCTCATCAATCCTGCTGCTTATTGTGTTGCACAAAGCAGATGGATGGTTGTCCTCAATCCACAGATTGAAATTCTTTTGAATTCAAGTAGATAATTGAAGCCTGTTGGATCAATAGCAGGTGATGATCTCATGCACTGACTGTAGATATCCATCTGGGCAGTAATGGTTAGTCATCGATACATAAATATAAAGGTAGTCACCTGTGTCCAGAGTCAATGTGGGCTTACAACATCCACATCCAGGTCAGCCATACATGTAATTTGGGTTCCTGCTGAGTCTGCAGACACTTCCCAGCGATAGGGGCTGAACCAAAACCAGACAGATCCTTATGACTCTCCTTGGCTTGAAGCAGAGACTCTCTCAGAGCAGTTACACACTCGTGTCATCCATCATAGGAGACTGCTACAGTGGGATGAGCCACAAAAGCTGTGGATTCTGCCATATTTTATATAGGACTCAGCCAAACCCTCTTCAGGCCATTAAAAAGTGGTTTTTTTCCCACTGAAGAAAAACTGTTGTTGCTTAAAATAATGGAGGGGGTCTGAACTGCCACCTCTCTGTGATGTCCACAAGGACAGCCTGAGCCCTGAGACTGAGCAGGGTGGGGTGAACCCAGGTACCAGTGAATGCAGTGGGATTTGGAAACGCTTTTGCATCCAGTGAGAATTTTCCCCAAAAGTCCATGCCACATCGTTCCGTACTCCATGCACCTTTCCACAAGAGCTGTGTTGCTCATTTAAAGCATCGAATCCAGGAGATGACAAGGCACAGGGTATCTTCTGCCTCCTTAAGTAGGCGTTGAGACATGGGAAACTGAACTCAACCCAAA